CGTCGCCTTCTCGCCATCCTCTCTGACCCTGATCGCACCCTCCCGATCATCCCCGTACGACTCGGGACCTCCACGAGGGTGTACTCAGAGCTGTGGGATTCCGGTTCTCAGGGCGACTTCATTCACCCACGCGTGGTGAAGGAAGCCCGCTTACCCATGACAGGGTCTCCGACTCCCATCTCCGTTACCCTAGGGGATGACAAGACTCAGCGCTTCTTCGATCAGACGGTCACCGACCTCCCCTTCTTCCTCACTCTCGAGCCGACTGATCGTTCCCCGGCGTCTCCTCGCCACCGCTCCTCTGCACATTTCGATGTGATGGAGACGGGGTACGACTTCATTCTCGGCACTCCGTGACCTCATCCGAGAGTACCACGACGTTTTCCCATCGTCGTTCTCGTACGCCGGCATCCCACCGATGCGTGATGTCGAGCACTCCATTCAGCTCGTGCCTGACTATCGTGTTCACCACCAGGCACCCTACAGACTCTCGATCCCCGAGGCCACCGAACTCAAGCGTCAGCTTGAGGAGCTCCTGAGACTGGGTTTCATTAAACCCAACAACTCCCCGTGGGGTGCACCCGTTCTCTTTGCTCGCAAAGCGGATGGAACTCATTCTTCTCTGCATCGACTACCGCGGTCTCAACCGCTACACGGTTAAGAACAACTACCCCATGCCTCGTTCCGATGAGCTGTTCGACCGCCTAGCAGGCAACCGCTTCTTTACGAAGATTGATCTTCGTAGCGGTTACCATCAGATCCGCGTCGCTGCAGCCGACCAGCCGAAGACCGCGTTCCGATCGCGATTCGGCCACTACGAGTTCACGGTGATGCCATTCGGCCTCACCAACGCACCCGCTACCTTCCAGAGGGTGATGAACGACATCTTCAGGGACATCCTGGAGCAGTACGTTCTCGTCTACCTCGACGATATCCAGGTCTATAGTCGTATCCTTAAGGAGCACCTCAGACACCTCCGCGACGTCCTTGACCGCTTGCGCAGACATGGCGTCTACGCCAAGCTAAGCAAGTGCCGCTTTGCCCAGCACAAAGTGGATTTCTTAGGACACTACGTGTCTGACCAGGGTCTTCACATGGACGACGCGAAGATCACTGCTATTGCGGAGTGGCCCGCTCCCACATCCGCCAAGCAGCTTCGCAGCTTCCTAGGCCTGACCAGCTACTATAGTAACTTCATCCGGGGATACGCTAGGTAGTCCTACGTCCTTACCTCCACCCTCCTCCGGAAGAACCCACCCTGGGCTTGGACACCCCTCCACGAGGACGCCTTCCGCGCCCTCAAGAAGGCGGTGACATGCGCACCGGTTCTTCACCTACCCGATTTTGACCGCCCTTTTATTCTTACCACCGATGCGTCAGACTTCGCTGTAGGAGCAGTGCTTTCTCAGGTCTTCCCCTCATCTCCTGATTCCTCTCATCCTCGTATCCCTCGCTTCCCACCACCTACCCCTACCACTGCTTCCCGACTGACGCCTACTCRTCCAGCTACTGACGAGCCTTCTATTGACTATTCTCCYACYATCRCCGAGGACGGCACTGTCGAGTCTCGCTCAGGTGATTGTCCGATAGCCTTCTACTTCCGTCAGCTCCTGCCCGCCGAGATAAACTACACTGCTGAAGAACTTGAGGTTCTCGCAGTAGTTTATGCCACTCGGCACTGGCGTCACTACCTGCACGGGGCACCATTCATGGTGCGCACGGACAACTCTGTTGTCCAGGCTTTTCTGACAAAGCCGAAGCTCACTCCTCGACAGGCTCACTGGTGGCGCGACCTATCCGAGTTTAGTTTCACCACTGAGCACATCAAGGGTGAGACTAATCGGGTCGCAGATGCCCTATCCCGGCGCCCTGACCACGACCAGGAGCACATCCAGCTCTCTTCCATCTCGGTCACCACCGTCCACCACTCGGTGATCGACGAGTTTCGCACTCAGTACCGCCACTGCCCCGACTACCACGACATCCAAGCGACCCTTTGGAGTGGCAAGACCGTCCCGAACTACTCTCTCGGGGACAACGGTCTTGTGTACTGGCACGGTTCACAGAGCACCAGAGAGCCCCGTATTTGCGTTCCCTTCGCTGGACAGCTACGTGTCCGAGCAGTAGCAGAGTTCCATGACTAGGCAGCTGCCGGTCATATGGGCTTCCACAAGATGTTGGCTCGTGTGAGCCGCCTGTACGTCTGGCCGAAGCGCAAGGACTTTGTGAAGGACTACGTCGCAGAGTGTCCCACCTGTTAGGAGGTGAACAGTGCGAACCACCTACCTTATGGTTTGCTCCAGCCTCTTCCTATCCCTGAGGGTCGTTGGCAGTCCATCTCGATGGACTTTATCGGTCC